TCTTATTAAAGGTATGTGTGTGATTAGAATAGAGAGTAGAAACTCTGTTCGAGGAGATTGATGATCGATGGAGTATGTACTACGTACAAAAGTACTTTCTAAGTACCAAGTCTTTTTCAAAGCTCTGTATTTCAGGTGTTGCTTGTGTCAGGGTATTATTATGTTCTGAGGTACGAGTCCTACTCATACCAGGGTACTATAATGTGCCAGAAGTACTATCATGTACAAAGTCATTTTCACACTATTATATGTCAGAGTACGGGAACGTACATGAGTACTTTATTAGTATTTCCCCATACTTTTTCTTTTGATGAGCTTTGTGTGTCAGCGTTTCCTTTCACGAAGTAATTGAGGGAACTTCGTAGACTGCATAATAGAGTGTGTCAGTAATAGATCATACTTTATTAGTATTTCCCCATACTTTTTATTTTGATGAGCTTTGTGCCGAGCATAGATAAGTGTGTTCTGTTAAGCATAGGTCTACGCCGAGCGTAGGTATGTACTATACCGAGCATAGGATCGAGCTGTTGACTTTTTGAGCAGTTTGACTTTTGGTTAGTTGTGTTGGGATTTAGTCTTGGAAGCGCAAATGGTATATTGCCCAAAGGAGGATTAATTGTGAAACAAGTCTCTTTGTGAGTTATTTATTATCTTAATTGCTAATTAGGGTTTATTATGTGTATGTTTAGTGTGAGGAGACTTGGTATCATTAACTCGAGTGCATGGATTATATGGTCTTCAGATTGATGTGAGTTTCTCACGATGCCATGTATCCCATTGCATATCCTTTGCATGGTAGGATATAGGTATTGTTAGAGTACAAGAATTCTAGTGGCTAGGATAACTCATTTGTTATGTATGTGCAGTTTAGGACATTTGGTGTCTTGGTATGCTAAACTGGTAGGGTTTTGCTTGTTGATCGTATGGTATAGTTGATCGTCCCAAACCCTAATACTTGTGTACGAATCTAAAAGAAACACGAAATAATAACCCAAGTATTTGACAAATAATAACCAATATTATTTATCGGGTTTTTTCACACAGAACAAGGATCTCACAAAGAGAAGGAGTACAATCTAAGAACTCACTAAGAACTCTCAGATCTATCTCTACGGAAACTCTAACTTTCAAAATACAATACAAATCATCCACTCTCAACTAATGAGAGAGGCTAGTATAAATACTAGTCTAAACCTAGGAGATAAAACTTCTGTAGATTCACCAAATGTTCGTTTAAATCAAATCCCTGATTTGATGGGATTGAATCTTCTAAGTTAAATCTAGATCTAGTATTTAAGGAATGGATCAGATCAGATCTTCAGAATGCTTCTTCACAAAGTAAATATGACCAGCTACAGATTCGGGTAGCAACACTAGCACATCAGAGCATCAGCATCAACGTCAAGGAGATCAGCTTCAGCGTCAACGTCAAGAAGTCACACGTTGATCAGCTTCAACTTCAGCTTCAGTAGTGTATAACCATCAGCGTGTGTCATCAGTGTATACTCGTCAGCTTCAGCAGAGAAAACTCGAGAGAGAAAGGTTGTAGGGGTGAGGAGATCGAATGAGAGACTAATTGATATTTATAGGGCGAAAAAATTATTTGCACGCCACGCACATGGTCGGACCGGGTGACATGGTGATTCCTGAGTGTTGACACGTGTCACAATTTGGGTGAGGTGTCAAATGTGGGTCGCGCATCTTGTTTGTGCGCGTGAAAAATTCTATTTTCTTTAAATATTAATACCTTCTTCATATGAGCTTCTTTTTCGACGTACTTTATATCCACGTGTATCTATCGACGGGATCTACAACTTTCATTTAAACTCTGACAGCTAATTTTGACTTAATTTTTAAAGTTATATCTTTAACAGACTTAGACTGTTGAAGTCCATTAAAAATTAATAACTCTTTCGTCCGGATTCCGTTCTTTATTGTCTTTATATTGACGGAGTCTTATTAATGAGATCTTCAATTCTCATTTAGATTGTCTTTCCTAAAAATCGATCGATTTTAATTTCGGTTTATGTACTAACATTGTTACGCTGAAATATTAAAAAAATCATAACTTCGTCTTATGAAGTCCGATTTGAGCGTACTCTATATGCATGCTCTAGGTTTTACGACTACTACAACTTTTGTTTAGATTACTTAGGCTAAAAAGTAATTCATCAAAATTTCACTCTTTACGATACGTAGAGTCGGGTCGGTTTAATCGCGAAACTTCGAAGTAGCATAACTTCTTCATACGAAGTTGGATTTTAGTGTTCTTTATATGTATGAAATCCTTGTCACATATATAATAACTTTGGTTAAAATTATCTATCCTAAATATTCTTCTATCAAAAACTCTTTTTTAACGCTTATAATATCTTAATTGACTATCCTAAATATGTGGGTGTTACAGTTTTGACCAGAGGGATTACGGAGTTAAGGTCTATAGTTTGAGTTATGGATCATGGATCAAAGGAGAGGTTTCAGAAAGATTTATTGAAATCATTTTGGTGCAATCTTGTATGAAACCAGAGGCGAAGCTATGTAGACACCAGATGGGTCCTAAGACCCATCTAAGTTTTAAATTTTATATAGTATTTATGTTATAAAAAATTTAAGACCTACCTTGAAAAAAAATTATGACCTTCCTTATATTATTGGACAAACTAAGGAGCAAATAAATAAATAAAAATTGTTAAGGAGTTATACTTCAATTTGTAAAGAAAATGAATAATATTATAAAAACTGATTCTACATCGGAGATAAAAAGAAAGAGATGTAGTTGTTTGATGTTATAAACATGAATGGTGAAAGGTTATAAGGAGACTTGAAAAACAACACTACTCCTACATTGTTGGTTACAGGAAGTGGTTGTTGCAAGTGAGCTATTTAAATTGGAAAAATATCCACTTGTGCAAAGTAATTACTTTTTTTGCAAAAATTCAATTTTAGGGATGAAGTAGGTCGGAGTTCACATGTTTTTAAGGCATTCAACTGGTCAGTTGAACAAACATTTGCAAACCATCCGGTTCAACACATGTATAATTCACTCTTTGTTTTTCAGCTTCACTTAATTAGGAACCATATGCATTTTTATTTTGGATTCACCACTAATGGAATATCCAGTGTTGATGACCATAGGTGAGTTTCCTTCCTTATTAAATATATTTAAGATGTAGAGACTTTGTGTGTTCATATGTGGATGAACCCTATTGAATAGGATTAGGTGTTGGATCGAAAGCCCTAATCCTATGGTTGAAATGTGGTTGAGGAATCTCTATTATGTCTCATTCTTAAAAAAATATATAATTAATTCATAGAAGGTCGTATGAACCTAAATCAGTTCCCAAAGTTCAGAAATTGAGTCTCATATATTTCGTTAGTTTTTACCTTAGTCTAGAAATGGCTTTATCTATGGTGAAAAGTACAATTTTCACTGACCGGTTCGAAATGGGCTATTGTGATATGTTGTTTTCAAAAATTCATAGTAAATAGTAGAAAAATCGTATGAACACATGTAATATATCCTTGGAAAGGTAAAATGTTGAATTTGCATGATATGGAATAATAGTACATAATCGATGGGTTTTAAGGGGGGATAAAGTGGTCTCGAACAAACTGTTTTTTTGGGACAAATTCTAGAAAATGGACTAAATAACTAACTAATTATAAGAAGGGTCAAGGACTAGCTAATAATACCTTATAATGATATTACAAGAGTATAAGAGACCTGCGTTGGTCCTTGTTGGATTCTCAGAGTTGCTACATGGAGTCTACTTTGCAGTTTGAGGTGAGTTTCTCACTACATGGTGTTGATGTTGTACATCCTTTGCTTTAGCTCGTGTGTCATTGTAGGATGTATGTGGGTAGTACTAGGCTCTTTTAGCGTCTAGTATGTGCATATTATTGGCTCGACGTACTAAGGAATATATGTTTGATGTTGGCTCGACACACTGAGTAATATATATGAGGGCTTGACGTACTGAGCATAGAGGGATCGACATTAGCCGAAGTGCCACGATAGTGTATGCTTATTTAGGTTGTGTTCTTAGACTTGCATGTTTGGTGATGTATTGGTTGTATCCTTTCTGTGGGGGTAAAACATGTATGATGGATATATTGTATATGTGTTGGAATTCACTAAGCTTTGTGATTACCCTTTCCCTTAAAACCACCGTTACAAGATTATTCAAGTACTAAGGATAGCAAGACGTGGCGTTACAAACTGACATGGTTTGGTTGTGACGAAGATTCCATTTTACAATTTATTTATTTATTTATTTTATTACATTCATGTTTTTTGAGTTTTGAATTGTGAAATTTGTTAGATGCTTTTAAATTGTGGAATTTGTTTTAATACCACAAGCTATTGGAATTAATAGTGTTTTAAACTAGTAAATGATGTTTTTATAAGTTTAGAATTTATTGTAATTTTTGAGATATTACATTGATCAATAAAAACTCTCTCTAGTTATTATGTGGACGTAGCTCATTTTTTCTAGAAGTATCTACTCTTTATCGGGACCTACTAGCAGTACAAAAAAGACTAGTTCACATGAAGACGATCTTGGGATGGAAAAGGGCCGACAAATTGCTGAAATCGAGGACCAAACCTAGACTGTCGCTCTAGACCTTATAAGGACTTAACAGTCTAGGATCGATTCAATACCATTACGGTCCTTAGGCAAAAAAATCGAGGACCGGTTAGGACCGGCTTAAATGTGCACATCTAGTTAGACCTAACCATATTGCAATCACGAGGTGATTTTGAGCCCTTCTCAAACCTAATCAAAACTCACATGTTCCGAATTGGAATATTTAATCAAAGACCTAAACATTCTAGTTGTACACCAGTTTTTTTTCTAAAGTCTCTTGAAAATCTAACAAGTGTATATGGATAATTGGATATAATTGGTAGCCTAAAACAAAAAGGCTTATAAAGTGTTTGAACTTCTCATTCTATATCCATATGAGATGTGTTATTACAGTATACATCCAATCTCAAAACCATATTTTCATGTTTTTATAAATACATAATACATGCTTTATATTTCGGATATTAGAATGTAAATTATTACACAACAATTCAATGCTAGGACGATTTTGAGTTGTGAAGTGTTTGCAAATATCTTACCCAAATGCCCAACCATTTTCTCGAACACTGTCTTGTTTTGTGAAATGATCAACACATGACCCTTGTTTGATGTTAAACATTTCACGTATCTCTTCAACTTCCTTCCCTTTAATCATATTGGCTATTCTTCCACTAACAAGATCCAATAGACTTTTGATCTTTAACTCATTCGATGCCTACAATGGAAAACTTATCATTTTTGTCCAATTTACAGAATCCAAGAACAAATAAACATGGAATTATCGTTTTGCTTAAGTAGATTAGGGGAAGATGTAGAAAGTAGAGTCAAACATACCAGAACAAGTTTGAAGAGCGTTTCGTAATGAACATCCACGAACTGCGTATCAAACGCTTTCATTTCCTCCAAGGCGGTGAGATTATTTCCGGCGCCGTCGTAATACATGTGTTTGTGACAGTAGTCCAAGACCTTGGCCATGATCTCACCGGTTATATTAGGGAAAGACAATTCGATCTTACTGGAGAACCCTCCGTCGACGATCATTTGCTTAATCGCTTCCGATTGTAGCACCACCTGTAATTTCACATCGAATTTCTCTCCATCGGAGCTCTTTAATATCACTGACGTCGCGGCAACGTGACCTTCTGGACCGGTGGCGATAGGGCGGGAGGAAACCGTCGTAAACACAGAAATTGAGATCAAAATCAAGAGCATGGCTTCCAGATAATGGAAAATACGAGACATGTTTTGATGGGGAAGTGTCGAGAAACGATGAAGGAAAAAACGATGGATAGCGTAAGAACTTATGTGTTCGATTTTGACTTCTGCTCATCCAGACTTTGACTAAAGAGTCATACAAGTGTTCAAAGTCGAAGAAAAGAAAATGGTGATATTTTGATTGTTTTATTGTTCATTAAATTCGTAGTTTGAAACTTTCTACTTCTCGAATATCAATATGTAGTTTGAAACTTTCACTTCTGGAATACCTTACTTTTTAGGTTATATTACTATTAGTTTGATAGAATAAAATTATAAAGAAATGAAATGTATAGAGAGTTAAAGAAATGAAATGTATAGAGTTAAATAATTGCTCAAAATATGTGGATTTTATACTTGGTAGGTTATTCACTTAAATTATAGTTTTAAAATTTATATAGTACATGAAAGTTAACTTTCTATGCAAAAAACAACTAGCTAGTGACCTACCGGGTAAAACACTTACATCTTCATATGAGAGCTCGTGTTGACTCTTGATCAATTATTGTGGTTTCAATTACAAGTTGGGCATATAGGCGGAGCTACATAGGAGTTAGGGTGCTACCCCTCAAATTTCGGCCAATACATAAATTTTTCCTTGAATTTTGTATTCATATTATGATACTATCTCGAAAAAAAATTAGGTTACCCCTAAAAAAAATTGGGTTGTTCCTAAATTATAAACTCAAACACAAAATAGCCCATAAATTTTAAATTAGTGAAATATTTTTAGGTAGTCCAAAAATTTTAAGTCTAATGTCCAAACACTTTAATAAAACAAAGAAGGTAGTACTAGAAGCTCATTTTATTGTTGCTCAAAATCCGAAAGGGAAACATAGGAAACATAAGATGCTATTGTCCCTACTCCTCTATCCATTGTATTTGATGTCTTTTTCTTCCTTGCCAAGTTCAGGAAAATGTAATAAAATTCTTACATATTGACCTTATAATCGATTTAGTCCTTATATATTTTTTTATTCAATTAAATCTCAAAAACCAGTAATCATATTCAATTTAACACTTTTACCAGGTCAACATATTATCTAACTTTCAAAAATTAAATTTTTTGGCACATATTTCTAAATTTATTACAAATTTGGTTCAAAATTTACATTTTTGGCTCATATTTTAAATTTTATTACAAATTTGGTCCAAAATTTACCCTTTCAGCCCAAATTTTAGAATTTGTTATAAATTCATCCTAACTTTAGTTTCTTTTTTTTACAACTTTTTTCTCAAAATTTTGTTTCGAATATGTTTTTTCTTTATAAAATCATTTTTATACAAAAAAACATATTTTCACATAAAAATCTTATATTTTCTCTATAAAAACTTTTTTAAAAAGCTTTTTTGTATATGAAATATCTATTTATAAAAATAGGTATTTATTAAGTACATAAATATAGAAAAATCCGTTTTTATAAAAAAAATGTATACAAACACCTATTTTATTATTAATACATTTGTATACAAACACACACACACACACACACACACACATATATATATATATATATATATATATATATATATATATATATATATATATATATATAAAACAATGTAAACAAACACCTATTTTCATAGTAAACATATATATATATATATATATATATATATATATATATATATATATAGGTGTGTATCTATATTTTTTATAAAATCATGTTTGTATACATTTCTTTTATAAAAACGTGTTTGAATAATTTTTTTATATAATACGTGTTTGAATAAAATGCATTTATTATAAAATAGGTCTTTATTATATATATATATATATATATATATATATATATATATATATATATATATATATATATATATATATATATATATATATATATATATATATATTAGACCTGACAATTCGTGTATTCGTGTCATGAAAACGTGTCAGCCACGAATTTGACAAGATACAATTACTCGATGAGAAATAAGCTTTATCTCAATTTTCAAGATATATTCGTGTCGTGTATTCGTGTCGTGTCGTTTCTCTCACAGATTCGTGTATTCGTGTCTCGAATTGCCAAGTCTAATATATATATATATATATATATATATATATATATATATATATATATGTTTTAACAAAAGAAATGTATACAAACACTTATTTGGGCGCATATAAATATGTTTTTACAAAAGAAATATATATGTTTACTATTAAATAGGTGTTTGTATACAATTTTATTTATAAGTATGTGTTTGCATACAAATGTATTTATAATAAAATAGGTGTTTGTATACATTTTGTTTGTAAAATACTAAGCAGTTATCGCGGTCAAAAATATAATGGCGGTCACCGGCCGCTATTTGAAATCGCGGTTTTCGCGGCGGTATAGTGGTGATATAGCGTTTTTTATATTATTTAGAATTTATATGTAATAGAGTATTAATCAGTAAATCATACTTTACAGTTCAACCTAATCCAGTTAATTAGTTAATCAGTAAATCATAATTCACATATCATATTTCGTTAATCATACTTCACTTATCATAATTAGTTAATCATACTTCACAGATCGGTTACCAATGCCCCAGTTAGTCATACTTTAACACAATTAACAAGAGAACATATGCAATACTTACTATTTTCTCATACTGTAACACAATTACAGTTATCAAATAAAATGATTAAGCAACTTGATAGTTAATCATATAGTACTTCAAGTTTTCAACACAATTAGCAAGACAACACATACATGGTTTCAATGGATGTCATGACAGTCACAAAAATACAATTTTATTCAATGGAATGACACAAAAGTTCTGGTTTTGGCTAAGAAAAAAAAATTATTCAATGGAATGGCACAAAAAAATGTTTTTTTTATGTAAAATAGCCCAAAAATGGAATTTATTCAAATAACGGTTATAGCGCCGCTATAGCGGTGACCATAATCGCGGTAAATAGCGGTAAATAGCGGCGCTAATAGCGTCACCGCTATTCTAAACCGTTATTTTGAAATAGCGTTTCCTTACCTCCGCTAACCGCTATAGCACCGCTATTGACTACATAGGTAAAATACATGTTTGTATACATTTTTTTTTATAAAAACAGATTTGTATATATATATATATATATATGTACTTAATAAATACCTATTTTTATAAATAGGTATTTCGTATACAAAAAAGTTTTTTTTAAAAAGTTTTTATATATAAAATATAAGATTTTTATGTGAAAATATGTTTTTTTGTATAAATATGATTTTATAAAGAAAAAACATATTCGAAACAAAATTTTGAGAAAAAAAAGTTGTAAAAAAAACTAAATTTACTATGATTTCATAACAAATTTCTAAAATGTGGGTAAAAAGGTAAATTGACCAAATTTGTAATAAATTCTAAAATCTGGGTCAAAAATGTAATTTTTGAAAGTTGGATGACCTGTTGACCGTGTAAAATGGTTAAATTAAATACGATTACCGGTTTTTTGGACTTAACTGAATAAAAAAAGATATAAAGACTAAATCGATTATGATGCCAATATATAAGGACTTTATTGCAGTTTTCCCTTAGGTTTATTTAATTAAAACTTATGGTTAATAGTTCTCCCACAACTCCGATAACCGCCCTCTCCACCTATAAAGTTTAAACAAGTAAGATTTAAGCAAGTTTTTTTTTTGGGTTATTTTAGTTATTTTTCATTTTCTTGAAAACTTGTAAAAACTAGGAATTAGCAATTAGATTTGTTTCATTAGAGTTAGCACTTAATTATTGCTTAGTTATTATTGAAATCAAGTTTTTTGTTGAATGTTATTCCTTAATGGAGAAGTTTGTAGTTATTGTTAAAAATAGAATTTAAAGTATAAGATGGAAATGAAATGAATGTTTTATGATTTCTCAATTAAATACATATTCTTTATAACTACAATCTAGAGATTTTGTAATTAGGAACTTAGGGTTAACAAGTAGTTATTAATTGTTCTTAGAAACTTGAAATCAAGTTTTTTAGTTAAATTGTTGAAATTAAGTTTTTAGTTGAATTGTTAAAATCATTTCAAAAGAAATTAGATTTCGTAATAAACAACTTCACTGAATAAAACAATACTCATTAAGTATAAGATTCAACTAGGGATGTCAAAAAGTCTCGTGGGAATCCAATCACGTATGAGGGATATTTGTTTAAAAACTCGGGGACGAGGAGGGGGCAAGGTTTACCCCCGTTTTAATTTCGGGGGGGGGGGGGGGGGGGGGGGGGGCGGGGATGCGCAGTTGTTAACACGTTGTTGCGCGCGTATTTAACAAATAAATTTATCACTGCTTAGATTGCACTAAAAAGATAGCACAGGGAAGCATGGTCGAATCCTCAAGGACACAGACTAAAAGTCAATGCCTATTTGCATCAGGCACATCTAGTCAAGAAACAGAAATTATAAAAGGGGGTTTTTAATTAAAACTAAAAACTGAAAATGCAGTGATATTAAATTAAGCAAAGATCAATAATAAAAACGGTTTCAGCTCTGCTGTGACTTTCCTAATCATGCAATCAACATTGACCTGGTTATTTGAGATGCGTTCTATCTAAGTTGGTATTGAGAAAAACTAACAAGCTCTAGTATAATCTCTTTTACCTTACTTTATACTGAGAATTTCTCTGCGCAAATTTGACACTTTCGCCTTGGGAAAATATTTCTCTAGAAAAAGTTTGGCGAGCTCGTTCCAGCTTGTTATCGAACCAGACGGGAGGTCATATAACCACTCCTTTGCTGCATCTTGAATCGAAAAGGGGAATTCCCTTAATTTGATCTGGTCTTCAGTAACTGCATGAGGTTTCATTCCAGAACAGACGACATGGAATTCCTTGAGAAATTTGTGAGGATCTTCATTCTCAAGGCCTCGGAACGGGGGCAAAAGATGGATTAAACCACATTTAAGCTCAAAGTTTTGAGCTTCTGGAAAAGTGATACATAGAGGTTGTTAGGTAACCTCTTGGGTTACCCACTCGCGAAGAGTCTTTGCAGCATCGTCTTCATTTTCGCTTATGTCCGATTCTTCAGATTCGGATTCTGAAGAATCTGTGGGTTTAGATTTAACGGAAGAGGGTGGGGAGTAAATTTTATATGGGATGTTTTGAGGAGAATATGAGGGTACTTTCGTAATAAACATATCTGATTCGTTCCACAAGGGAGTTTGTTAACACACTGTCATGCGCGT